TCGGAAATTGTTGACCTCGGTCAGACACTTCAGTCATCAATCTCAATGTCATTCTGTGCAAATGAAAAGTCAAGGGGAAAAATTAGACCTGACAAATGTCGCTCTGACTTGAACGTACCCTTTTTTAGTTTGAATTCGAGCATTCGGCTCGCCCATACACATCGATAGCTTCAAAATCAAATGCTTGGAATTTTTTCGTCAAAAAAGAAGCTTCGTAGTGTTTTCTCCCTCGTGGTAAACGTCCACGTGAATAGAAGCTGGGGATTGGTCGAAAACTCAAAGCTGAGTTTTTATATGCGCATGGCACCATTGCATGGAGCGAAATTCCGACAGGGCCTGAAATTGTCGGATAAAAGAAGTTTGCACCTTAAGAAAACTCTGAAGAATAAGATATTGAAAGTATTAGCCTTAATCGGAGCTAAACATTATCGTATTCAGACCTATCGCTAGACGGCCCCTCTACCCAATCCCTCTGAGAAACTTCAAAATCAATACTTAATTCTCGACCATGACCATTTTGAAGGCATGCATGTCATCATCATTAAAAAAATGTCTATATAAATGTCAGCACATGGCTACTAAAAACAATTATCTGATGACGATGACATTCACGTCATCAAAATGGACAACGTGGTAACATAAGTTTTGATTTTGAAGCTCCTCAGAGTGATCAGGTAAAAGGGAAAGTAAAATCAGAAATTTCAAAAATGTTCCCGCTCAGATCTTTTATCTTGTGTATACTTGAACCGCACCGAAAAAAATTCTTGGCGTTTTTACCAAGGTCCGTTGGTACCTTTACCATCTCACTTTTTTTACCAATTATTGGTAATTTTACCAAGACAGACTGGTAAGCTTACCTAAAAACCGGTATTTTTACTGATTTTCTCAGGTAAGAATACCACTTTCTTTGGTAATCAATTCCCGGTAACTTTGCCATTTTATCTCGGTAATTCTACCACAGTCGATAAAAAATATTGGCGTTTTTACCGGAGTCCAGTAAAATTACCGAGAAAGTTGAATAATTTTACCGAGATTTCTCGGTAAAATTATTCAACAATTCCATAAATGGTAATTTTACCAAGAAAAAACTGGGATCAAATAGAACCCTGAATTCTCGGTAATTTTACCCTTTTCTTAGTAAATACACCGAGATTTTTTTTCAGTGCGTCGCCCGAAAATTTCGGGTGCCCTCAGATTCGGAAACCATAGCTCGGTCATTCGAGCGAAGAATCTTTTTTTGAGAAAAAACAATGAATCGAAAGAAATGCAGTCATAATTGACATTCATTCAAAACTTTTACTTCCTCGTGTGGTGAGATGCCCCTGACCCTGCTCAAACTGGACCTCGAAACCGAAGCTAATTATGACGTCAGCGGATGCCGACTCCATTCACCTACTGACCAGATTCGAATCGTCACCTTGTCCAGGCGATATTCGGTGTTTTCAAAACAATTTACGAGTATCGATGGAATCACGTGCCTACGTGCTTTCTCCTCGTAAAGACTCGGAGGAACCACAACCGGCGTCTCCGGACCGCGCGGACGTGTCCACGATTTTTCGTCGGGCGGATCGGTGCATAAAATAATCCGGCAGACTACAAGGTTGTCTGTAATCACTCGTTCTTATGCAGCATCCACCTTAATCAGATTTTTTTTCAGTATCCAGTGTAGCCAAAGCAATTCTAAATTCTGGATTAAAGCCACATGGTAAGAGGAATAATGTTCTGTCCGAATATTGGGATAATTTGTGTCAAGGGGAGGGATGTCCGCAGGGCCGGATTAAGGGGGTGGCCACATGGGTCGCGACCCATGGCGGCAAATTTTGAAATTTTTTTAAATGTAGGTGTATAAAAAAATCGGATTCAGAAAAAAAACTTATCAATATGAAAAGGAAATAAAATCTATTTTTCCTGAGAGTGCAGTAATTTCTAATTTTGTCATTTTCCGGTGATACAAGAGACAGCATCTTTAATTAGTCGAGTTAAGAGAGGAACTAACACGCAATCTTGCCTGGAGCTCAGCGCAGAGAGGAATGATGACAAGGACTTGAGATGAAAAGGACAAGCTCTCGGCGCGGCGGTCAGCATGTAATACATATTAGCGCCTACAAGACTGCATGGATACTTCATATATTGCGCCAAACACAGTGCAGTCACGCGATCAGGAGCGGTTGGCGTGAAACGCATAGCGCCTACAAGACTGCAGGAATACTTCACGCATTGCGTCAAACACAGTGCGATCAGCGCGGCGCGGCGCAACGGCGGAAGTTAAAATTATTAAACCACATTTATGTTTGTTCTTTCATAATTTTTTTATTCATTTCTTATAAATGGAGGATCTTGTCCACACAGAGATAGGTTTACAGAACTTAACTTTCGCGTCAAGTTCCGTGAAATTTTGCCAGTAGTGTTGACAGGGCTTTTGCAAAAAAATGTATCCAACATGAGTAGGTAAACGCGTCTTATGCACCCCTCTCCCTTCGGCACGTTCACTTGATGGTTTTTATTGATGTTTCAAAACGAATGAGAAGGGGGCGGCAAGTAGGTAAATCCGGCCCTGGATGTCCGTAATTAATGTTACACTTGTTTCTTATATGAGCAAAAAACAGTGGGCTCATTTTTTCGTAATACAGTCCATTTGTACTTAATCGCTCGAATCTTTTCAGTTAATCTAAATTTTCAGGACTACATTGTGTAAATAGGGGCTACAATTTTTGTCTCTCTTTAGGAACAACGTATGTGCCTTTAGTTTCTGAATGCAGATAGATGCTTTTCGCGTGGATCAGGAATTTTAGTTCCTTTTTGTACAATTAAGTACAATTCTGAAAAGGAGAGATTTTATCGTGTAATTTGGCAACATGATTGGAAACGAGTATGATAAATCCAGTTTAATTGTGTATGCCTCAAATGACTGGAATTTTGTTTTCGTAGAATGTATATGGACTGTGAACCTTTCGGTGTAGTGACCCTGACCCTACTTGGAATACTGTTATAAAAAGTTAACGTAAAAATGCATTTGGAAAATGTGGGTGGGGTATCCCAGGAATATCGTAATTTGAGTAATAGTTTTATGTGATTGCTATTATCGGCAAGAGGAGAATAAGACAAATCTCAGTGTTTTATATTTCCTTGTGCGCAGAATTAGTTACTTTAAGGAAGGCCTGAATTTTATATCGCGGCGGTGCTCTCATTGTACCTTTCAAAACTTATCTTGAAAATTTTCCGGACAAATTCTTCTTCTCCCTTCCTCAATTACATATCAAATGTAGTGCATCATTGAAACACGCCATAACTGGAGGTCATAAGAATGGGATAAGCACTTCTCAACTTGAGTGTTTCCGACTTTAATTTCCCATTTTTAATCTTTCAAGAGGATTAAATGACTCAGCAAAATGAAATCCTTCAAAATGTCGCAAATGATCCTATAAGAGAAAAATTGAGTGAAAATAACCGCGAGGGTTTATTTGTGCCCCCACCTCCTCTCCAATAAAATATATATTATTGGACAATATTTTGAAAACCGTAGTGGGGAGGTGTTTCTCTTACCCCACTACCCCAGAACTCGAATATCGAACTGCTGACATTTTTTTTGGCCTTATCTGTTTAGCCTCCAGCCTTTGAGCCATTACCCCCATTATTTCTAAAAGTAAAGGGCTTCACTTGATTCATCACAGAAGGCGTTAACTCAACGTAGCAGTATTGTTGTTGTTGATTTTGTGTAGCGTTGTTACTTCATTCAGTAACGTTGTGCAAACAGCAAAATATTCCTTTGTTTTGATTCAAAATTGTGTTGTTCAGGCATGATTTTCTTTCATCTAACATAATTTTATGTCAGTCCAAACGCTGGTGTTGCATAAGAATAGCTAACACAGCGCGCTATGTTAAATTAACTCTAAATGCATGTCTCATTAAATTGTGCCTTAGCAAGACAATTGTGACTGTAAAAGAAATGAAATGTTAAGTTGATCCAACTCATCATCCGTTGTTTTTTTTTTTTTTTTTTTTTTTTTTTTTTTTAAGCCTGGGAGTTGATTTTAGAAAAACAGTGTCGCTGTGAATATAATGATCATTTACAAAATTCAATTTGGATGGCCAATGAAGTTCTGTTATCAGTGATGTCAGAACTTCAACTCGGCGAAACATGTGGTCAGGTTGGCCGAGCGGTCTAAGGCGCCAGATTTAAGCTCTGGTTCACAGTGTGAGCGTGGGTTCGAACCCCACACCTGACAGTACTTTTTGATACGCCAGCATAAATGTTTTTCTTCGAAAATCGTCAAATTGAATTTAAAAATGTATTTGTATATATTTTGACGGTAGATGACCATTAAACAGTTTTGAGCAACCTAGGGATTTCACAATATCAGCATTGTCCAAAGGTGAGAAACGTAAACTTTGCGCTGCTAAATTGGCTCAACGAGGCTTGAACTCCACCTGAAACTTTCTTTGGAATATTTTCTCCAGATTTGTGTACGACACAAAAAATTCCTAAGTACCCCAAAAACGGGCATCAGAAGGCCCTTCTCTGACATGCACAAGCTTTTCAGCCTTCTTTTTTCTATATTTTCTGACGAACGTAAACTGAGAAACGTAAACTTCGCGCCGCTAAATTGGCTCAACGAGGTTTGAACTCCAGCTGAAACTTTCTGAGGAATATTTTCTCCAGATTTGTGTACGACACACAAAATTCCTAAGTACCCCTAAAATGGGCACAAAAAGGCCCTTTTCTGACATGCACAAGCTTTTCAGCGTTAATTCTTTTTTCTACGTTTTCTGATGAACGTAAACTGAGAAACGTAAACTTCGCGCCGCTAAATTGGCCATATAAACGAGGTTTGAACTCAAGCTGAAACCTTCTTAAGAATATTTTCTCCAGATTTGTGTGCGACACACAAAAAATTCTCCAGTACCCCCAAAAATGGGCATTTAAAGGCTCTTTTCTGACATGCAAGCTTTTTAGCGTTCTTTTTTATGTATATTCTGACAAAGCGAATTCTCTGTTGCAGGATCTTAGGAGGGAGAGGTCCATCCTGAGGCGGGATGCGGTGGTTCCAGAAGCCGGCGACGGACGCGCCGCGGCTGCTGAGCCTGTCGCCGCTGCGGCACGACGCGCACCTGGACTCGCACGCACACGGGCCCCACCGCGGACACGCCGGCCGCGGCTCCTTCCGACGGGACCCCGACGCCACCCCCACTCCCATCACCCAGTTACGTCACAGATCCAGGATAGGTCAGTAACCATCCCAGCCAAGGCATCCATGTTATTCGCTCCTATTCGCCTGCTACAGGGCGTCTGTCAAATCCTCACATACCTATCAACAGAGAAAAAAAAACACTAAAAAACGTGGTTTGAACTGTACGTAACAAGGAGATAAAGTGGTGCTAGGTCCACGTTATTTTGCGGGGGAAACATGACCAGAAAGTTCAAAATTTTCAAGTAGAGTAAGGGCCGATTGTAAGATCTCTGGTCAGGTGCAGAGCCGGATTTTCATTTTTTGCGCCCTAGGCTAAACTTAGGGTGGCGCCCCTAAAAGTAGGCGCTCTCGTGAAGGGGGAGGGTCCCCAGACGCCCCTCCCCTCCAGATTAGAGGGAGGATATTAGGTGGCAGGAAAATGTTGACATTTAATGACAACACAAATGACATTTTGTAATAAGTCACGTTTTTGAATAAATTCTCAAAAATTTTGCGCCCCTCAGAATGTTGCACCCTAGGCTATAGCCTATGTAGTCTATTGGTAAATCCGGCCCTGGTCAGGTGCTTGTCAAAGTGGTGGTTTGAGCTGACCAGAGCTTGACCAGAGGTAGGTGTGTATGACTCCCGGTTTTATTCAGGTCAAGTCCCGGTCAGTTTTTTTTCTCTTTCGCAAACCAGTAGTTAGCCTGATTAGCAGATTGACTGCTGGTCAAAGTTTGACCACTGGTTTGATGACCAGAGGTTGACAAGAGATCTTACAAACGGCCCTAAAATACTTTGAGCTCTAAATTCGATTAGAGCTCAACATTTCGGACTCTAAATTCATTTAGAGCTCAAAATTTTGGAGTCTAATGGAAATTTTTGAACTTTTTAGCCTTGTTTTCTCCCCGAAATAGTGTAGACTCAGCAACAGTTTTCCACCTTGTTCCCATCAATGGATGGATGTATTGCGCAGATTGTGAAGTTAGGAGTTAATTTCAGATTTCCTCGGGGTATGCATGTTGTGTGTTTTTTATTCAATCCTGTAAAAAGACATCCTTTCTTTGCTCTTGCAAAAATGTAAATCAGACCTATTAAACAAAGGTTAGAAATTCCATTTTGCTACGACCAGCTGTAACAAGTGTAAAATCAACGTCGAGCTTGAAAATGGATTTTGGACGTACGTAAATAGATCTCCTCGACGAAATTTTACCCAGTTTCGTTCATTTTGTGCGAATCTAAGATCATATCGCAGGAACTTGTAAATCTCCAGCAAACATTGCCTTATGGGCTGCTCGCAAAACTTTCAGCGCAGTCTGTCGAGAGCAGCTTCGGCCCGGCATTACTCATCTTATTAGTCGGAACGACACAACAATCCCAGTTACATCTTGGGCTCCTCGTTGATCGTACGTGCAATTGCAGCCAACGTTGCTGTGCTGGGCAAGATTAACCGAATAATTCCTCTCCTCACTCGCTGAAATATCGATTTTCCGCGCCAAAAACGACAACCATGTGCAGGATCTAAACTTAAAACGGACAGAGAAGTCACAAGAGGGGTAAACGTCTTATTAAACGCTCCGATCTGATCGAACATGAGTCTATTGGCGGCTTCGCGGTTTATCGGCTGAGTTGCCGGTTGTGTCCGGAAATGTCGTATTTTAAGGTTGGTTTTGAGGCGTACGAAACATTACATCCCCCGCTTTATATTTGTTTACCGGGGAGGCGCATGTTCTCAGGGAACTTTGAGTTGGTAACTATTCGCACACTGCTGTAGTTAATATTGCCTACCCGGTGATTTGAAGGATCTTTTTGCGTTCCGCACTTTCGAGTGGAGATTTTGCCCTAAATTTGTGCCTTATTAACAATCATCAACCTGCATGTGAAAAAAATCATTGTTTATCGCTTTTTTCTTTGGGCATCATTCAAATAGTTCTTTTGCTCATCATTCATGCGCTGGTATTTTTTTTAAAAAAAATATTCTTGCTTTTCGTCTAATTGATTAAATATTTGTTTTGTTTTTTTTATAAGTGGCGAGTAAGAAACGGCTAATTTTTACTCTAATTAAAATACTGAATTACATTTAATTACGTTTAATTTCAAGTTTAACATCAGGGAAATCAATCCGAGCACAAAATTAGTTAAAACCAATTGAGAGGTATATTTATTAGTGTTCCTGTCGCAGACGATTAGCAATGGACGAGAAATTACAATCTATTTATGTTGAATAAACAAATCGAAAAATTCAAAAGTGAAAAAACAAGATCGATAGTAGTGATTATTATGCTTTGAATTGAAACAGACGTTTTCTCCTTTATCTTGAATGCATGGTACCAGCCAACACACCCGTGAGTTCGTTAAATGTAATCAGTAACCTTTGTTAGGTTTGGTTCGGTTAAGCAACTAAACTAACTCCCACGTAGTGCGGAGAGTATCGCTAAATTTGAAGGCGCTCCGAGCTGAGGTCGTACCTTGAAGTCCTTCACCAATAAAACCTTTCCTATCTTCGTTAGGTTTGGTTTGGTTAAGCAACTAAACTAACTCCCTGGTAGTGCGGAGAGTATCGCTGGATTTGAAGGCGCTCCGAGCTGAGGTCGTGTATTACAGTTCTTAACCAGTAACACCTCTCCTTTATCGATGCAAATAATCAAAATTCGACGAGTCAACACGTATAGAGCTTGCATATTTCCGGCGATTGCTGACTTGACTGCCTGCGACATTAATGATAAAAATGAATCACTTTCAAAGTAAAAAAGAAGGTCTAATACATTTCTATTCATTTTAAAATTACTGACAACGAATTTAAAAATTAAATTACGATTTGTTTGATTAGGTTATTAAATTATATGTATTCAATTAATATTGAAGTAACAGTTTTAATTGAAAATTGTTAATCAACGAACGGTATCTGTTCATTTAGCCACGGCTCGTGGCGCCACGCAACAAAAATTGTTGCGTTTAGCCACAAGTTATAGGTGCTGTGTGGCTAAATGAAACATTCAAAATTAGTGTGGCTAAATGCAACAAATTTTGTTGCGTGGCGCCACGCAACAAAAAATGTTGCATTTAGCCACAGAAGTTATGTGTGATCTGAGTTATCTGTGGCTCATTGCACCGCAGCCAACAGGGCTACGGTGCAATGAGCCACAGATCTTGGCGCCACGTTTGGATCTCGGCTAAAATTCGGGCACAGCGCCACAGAGTGTGGCGCCACACTCCTGCAAAATCCTCAAATTTCCCTTATGTTTAAAACCGCTCTAGTGCTGGTGCAACCTGCCACAAAGTTCTGCTTACAGTTGACTTTCCGCTCATCTTTGACTTTCGTAAAAAACTGTCCAACCAACTTTGATAAACTTTCGAGCGTGGCACTACGCACCAGCGCATGAAAAAATCCGGGCCCAGCGCCACAACTCACGATTGCCTATCACCTGAATTACGGGCGCGCATCGGGTAGCGAGGCCCGCGTCGCTCAGTAGCGCATGAAAAAATCCAGGCCCAGCGCCACAGGGCCTAATCCACCTGAGGTTAGGTTAGGTTATGTTAGGTTATGTTAGGTTAGGTTAAGTTAGGTTAGATTAAGTTAGGTTAGGTTAGGTTAGGTTAGGTTAGGTTAGGTTAGGTTAGGTTGGGTTAGGTCAGGTCCGATGCGACGCGACGTGGGCCTCGCTAACAATATGTTGAATTGTGGCTGTCTAAATTTACCTAATCTAATATGCTCCGCCTAGAAGATTACCCTCAGTATTCATGAGTCAACTCAAATCTATCTCACTAATCTGTGTCTAAATGCAACAATTTTTGTTGCGTGGCGCCACGCAACATTTGTTGCATTTAGCCACACTCATTTTGAATGTTTCATTTAGCCACACAGCACCAATAACTTGTGGCTAAACGCAACAANTACATTTCTATTCATTTTAAAATTACTGACAACGAATTTAAAAATTAAATTACGATTTGTTTGATTAGGTTATTAAATTATATGTATTCAATTAATATTGAAGTAACAGTTTTAATTGAAAATTGTTAATCAACGAACTAGTTGAACTATGCACATATTTAGCGCAGGAAAGAGCGATAATGCCAAAATACGATACTTTCGTGAATAATGCGTATTTTAACATCAATAAAGAATTACATTTAGTAAGTATGTACCTTTACTTTACTGATAGTAACACTGAAAGTTCTCTATCATTGAAAACTCGACGAGGATTATTATCAGGAGGTGCAAACCGCGTCGGAAACATTCCACCGAGAGAAATCTCCTTGGGTGAGCGACTCGGCGAGTGGCGAGGGCAACTTAAAATTCTAAAGTTTAAATTCCTCAGCCGAGTTGTTACCCCTGCAAATGTCTGTGGGTCCGGAGTGTAAACTAAGTGATGTTGCCAATTCCTCATTTTAAACTCGCAGATTGAATTAAATCCAAGGTAAATACGCCTATCATTCCTCGCGAAGCATCATCGCTGCAAACTAGTCGTGAAATATTATGCGTAAAGCTGCGCAGAGAAATGTTACGACTTGCGAGCGCTTCGCACCGCGACTTGGAGGGGGGGGGGGGGT